CCCCCCCCCCCCCCCCCCCCCCCCCCCCCCCNCCGTCTGTATCACACGCACACACCACGGCAGTTTTGTGCTTGTGTTATTGCTGCGGTATCCGTTTTTGATCCGGAGAGTAGCATAATTCCCCAGCTACGCCCCCTCACGGGGTCGGTCCCAGATCATGGTAGCCTGTAGAACAAGAACTTTTTGCTTTTTATCGCACGGAGACTGGCGTCTTTTCATTGGTCAGCAGGTTTGTTAGCGCGGTCGATGCTATTTAGTATAAAAAAAATAACACACACACACACACACACACACACACACACACACACACACTCCTTGGCCTTTCAGAAGCGTTTTGTGCATTAACCACGCTGAGATTGACGTCTTCTAGCATCGACCGTATCATCCCGTGCAGTTTTACAGCCTGGTGTGCAGGGAGCTCCTCAAGCGAGGTCTCGGCATGTGGAGAGGGGACGACGCCCCGCCGGAGCCGCCGTCCCCCGCTGATTCCACGGGCCCCCCTCCCTCCCGGGGGGAAGGGGCCGGGGACGTCGGCGCTAGCGGCGAGTTGGGATCAGAGCAACGGCGCCAGGGCGAGCAAGGGGACGGGGAGGAGGCGGTACGCGCGAATTCCGCCGCTTCCACTGCCGCTTCCGCCGCCGCCGCAGCAGCTTCGGAAGGAACGGCAGCAGCAGCAGCAGCAGCGGCAGAAGGTGCAGGGGCAGCAGCAGCTGGTGGTGGTCCCGAGGTTTCGGGTTCGGCATCACCGGACCGAGACGCACCCGCCGCTGGCTCCGCCGCTGGCTCTGCGTCGTCGGCCCAGCCGGCAGCCGGCGGCGGCGGCGGTGTTGGTAGTGCGGGGGAGAACGAGGGCGAGGGTGACCGCCAGCCGTACCTGGACCTTGGGCCCGAGGGCTTGTTTCCGGCGCCGCTGGACCACAGGAATGGGGTTATGCGGGCCACCCTGGAGAGTCGGTTCAGGTGGGGTGGAGTGTTGTTGTTGTTGTTGTTGTTGTTGCTGTTGTTGTTGTTGTTGTTGTTGTTGTTGTTGTTGTTGTTGCTGTTGTTGTTGATTTCACATAAAAAATCGTCCGATCTCTCTCTGCCCATTACCTTCGTATGTCCGTACTGATCCAACACTCGACGCGGTCGATTCCCGTGGTCGCAGGCTAGCTTAGCCCTTAAAAGGTACATTCAAATATACTGGCCCCGAGGGGTCCGCAAGTGAAAATAAATCAACGACAGATATTCTGGAGTCCTCCACTCCCTCTGCGCGCTATGCGAGGTAACAACTGAGACTAGGAGTCACCATCACAGGCCGGAGAGAATGAGGTACACCCCCTTGGTTCAATCTTGGTACTTCACAACGCAACCAGAGACAAGGCCATCTGGCACAAGAGAAAGAGAGAAGAAAAAAAGAAAACAGAGAAAACGAGAAGACAATAAAAGGAAACAGTAAGGAAAGAGAAAATGATTTGAAATAGAGCGAGGACAAAAAGGGACCAGGCCGAAAATAACAAGAAATATGAGACAGAAAAAGGCATACGGTGGAGAGACCACTAAGGACAAGGCAAACACGCAAACATGGCCACCAACCAGCGATACATTGAAATGGTACGTCATCACTAGTGGGGGGTTTGCAATGGTGCAGCGTTGGGG